TGATTTAACTGGAATTGGTTTGATGCTATTATTTCTGGATTTGTAAAAAAAGGTTATGCCTGCCTTCATAAGAGAAGTGATCCAAAAGAGAGTGTGAAAGATGATCTGGTTGATGGAGAGTATGACTACTAAATAATATGGTTGTACATACTGCTAAGTTAATAATTTGAGTAAGTAACATCCTGCATGGTAGTGGCCACCAGGAGGTGGATAGAGGTTGAGAACCCTTATCTGCTGTGGGTACAGTGATCTGTAAACACCAGTGATTAGAATCACAGAGGAGTTGAACCCTTTTTTTCAGTGAGTTCAGAGAGGTAGGAGTGACATACATTCCAGGTATGACACAAACAAATAAGATCTGACCTTTGTCCTATTGTATGGTTAGTGGATCTGGCGAGTGTTCCAATATGAAATTATTTTAACACTTTAGTGGTAGTGATTTGCTTGGATTGAGGAAGTGGAATATTAATATTTTTTAAGATAATTTTGAAGATTTTGTTACAAAAACCTTTGTTTACAAGATTATTGTGGATGAAAGGTGATACAAGGCACCTCCCCCTTACTGGCACCCCTTTCCTGGATACAATGGGTGCTAATGGGGGCTGATTAGCTCTAGAAAGAGAGGGGGCCCTCCTTTTTATAAATATGTATTTAAAATTGTAAAAAAAATAACCTATGCAGGTTTAGTGCTCTCCATTAGGAAAAACAATCCACATCTCTGAACTAAACAGCTCTTTGAACAACACACATGCCCACTTTGGGTGAATTTTCAGTGGATCTCAGAAACATTCTATGTCCACTGAGAGCTAAATATGAGGAATAGTACCGTAAAAATCTTTTGCCATTTGAAAAACTGCTGTAGGCAATATATGGGCACATTTTCTCATGGGTGAATCTTGCTTCCTAAATGTTTTTAAATGATGGGCAAAATAAACTTTTTGTACTTACTGCAAAATATTTTTCTTTGAGTTCATTGGAGAACACAGGGATTGTATTAATTCTTAAACAAATGGATTTTACTGTCCACCTTTAGGAGGCTGGGACACTGGCAAATAAAAATAGTTGAGCCAGTTCTATGTAACACCTCTTTCAACCGTCATGTCTCAATTTTGTGAGCAAGATGCAGAAGAGCCATAACACAGATGGGCAGGACCTCAATGAACTTCAAGAAAAATATTTTGTGGTAAGTACAAAAATATTATTTACTGTATCATCCATTAAAGGACACAGGATTTAATCAATAGGTTTGACCAAGGGGAATGCACCAAAGTTCAACCTGGTGCTCCAGACTAGAACAGATATCACAAAGGGGAAGAAAGTGCTAACAGAAGGAACCATGGGTCTCAGCAAAGAAATGGAGGACCTGAATGGTAGAAAAAAAAAACATCTACCTGAATGGTAGAAAAAAAAACATCAATTAAAGTGGTCAACAAAATATATTTTAGCGGCCAAATTGTAGTGTAAGAAACTGCCCAATATTTAAAAAAAATAACTGCAGGAAATGCTTAACCCTAGCATAGCCAAGCCATTGATTTCACGGACAGAAAGCTTGGAGAGACAGAACATGTACAAGGAAAAGACCAATCAGTCAACAGCTGTAGGCTTAAGTTAAATATCCCTGACCCTTGAGTTCAGGGGAATCGACACCCAAGATAAGACAGGATGTTACCTAACAGACAGTTCATCTCTTCAGGAGATATGCATGAATGTGAGAGGCTTCAGGGCATGAAATGAAAATAGAAAAAAGTGAAAGAACCCTTTAACTGAGAAAGTGAATAGTGCTAACCCACAATCCTTATTAAGCAGAGGGTGGGGTGATCAACAATACTTATATAAAAAAGTAGGCAGGGATCTGGATATATCAAACCACAAACTGGCATAAAAGACTAATGGGTTTAAAGGATGAGAAGCAATCTTTCCAACCAACCCCCATAAACATTTTTAGTGGTGTGGAAACTACAAAACCTGTCTACCCAGATATATAATATATGATTCAACTGGGAATTATTCAACTTATCTCTGTAAAGAACCACTGAAGAGTAAGGGATAGGAATTCTTGTATTAGTACTATGAATATTCACCTGATAAGACTACAAAGAGGGAGAAATTAATTTAAGGTGACTTCTTCAGAAGACCACCGTTTGGTCACAGAAAAGCATCTGTAGTCCAGTGTCCAGGTCCCACAAAAGCCTTCAGACTTACACTATCCCTCTTAGGGAAAATATGCAGCAGGATAACAGTGTGTCTAGCATCTTTACCTTCCAGAGAAGTACAGGACATTCCTTCCAATAAGGGAGATTCAGCAGAACTTCCACTTTTCAAAGTGGAGATCATCAGAAGAGGAGATCCAACAGGCAACATAAAATGTGGCCATGAATGACTCACTCAACACTGCTCAGTGTAGAGAGTAGGTCTGTTGCAGAGGGAGATCTCAAAACATTCTGAAGATGAAGATCTGGTAGCCTCCAAATGCAGTCCAAGCAGAAGTCAAATTTAAAGACTGACTAACAGGAAGATCCCAATAATTTGGGAATTGTCTGTTCTGGAAGATCAGACTCAAGGAGAAGGCCAGTGGACACAACAAATAGGGCAGTCCCCCCAAAGAAGGCAAAAGGAACCACCCCATCTCTGGTCAGATGCCAGCACAATGCTTCTGAAACTTTTGGTCCAAAGAGAGCAACTTGGTGCCTTGTCCAAATTCCAGGGCCTATAGATAGAAATCAAAGCTTAGGAGTGTTATTAAGGCAATTGACTAGAAATTAATTTAGTCAAGAGGAAGTGGGTCTGAACTTCTGATCTCCTAATTAATTACACCAATAACAGCTCTAAGCTCTTATATATACTGTGTATACATACAGTTGTGTTCAAAATAATAGCAGTCAGACATCACTAACCTGATCAATCACTGTTTTTAGTAGAAATGAGATTTCTACATGGCAAATAATTTACTAGCAGGTGTAGTAGAGTAATAGAAATCCAACAGACCCAACAGTCATGACATGCATGCTGCTGATTCTGTGTAATCAATTCACTAATTGAAAGGGGCATGTTCAAAATAATAGCAGTGTGGAGTTCTATTAGTGAGGTCATTCATTCTTTGAAAAACAGGTGGACATTATTGCCCTTAATTAAGGAAGGAAGGCAGCAAATGTTGTACATGCTGGTTACAGTGCATTTCTCTCTGAAATTCTGAGGAAAATGGGTCGTTCCAGACACTGTTCAGAAGAACAGCGTACCTTGATTAAAAAGTTGATTGGAGAGGGGAAAACATATAAAGAAGTGCAGAAAATGATAGTCTGCTCAGCTAAAATGATTGCAAATGTTTTAAAATGGCAACCAAAACCTGAAAGACGCGGAAGAAAGCGAAAAGCTACCATTCGAATGGATAGAAGAATAGCCAAAATGGCAAGGACTCAGCCAACAATCAGCTCCAGGAAGTTCAAAGAAGGTCTAAAGTTACCTGTGAGTACTGTTACAATTAGAATACGCCTATGTGAAGCCAAGCTATCTGCAAGAAGCCCCCGCAAAGTCCCACTGTTGAAAAAAAGACATGTGCTGAAGAGGTTACAATTTGCCAAAGAGCACATTGACTGGCCTAAAGAGAAATGGCGCAACATTTTGTGGACTGATGAAAGTAACATTGTTCTTTTTGGGTCTGGTGGCCGGAGACAGTTTGTCAGACGACCCCCAAACACTGAATTCCAGCCACAGTACACTGTGAAGACAGTGAAGCATGGTTGCGCAAGCAGCATTATATGGGGATGTTTCTTATACTACGGTGTTGGGCCTATTTATCACATACCAGGGATAATGGATCAGTTTGAATACATCAGAATACTTGAAGAGGTCATGCTGCCTTATGCTGAAGAGGAAATGCCCTTGAAATGGATGTTCCAACAAGACAACGACCCCAAACACACCAGTAAATGTGCAACATCTTGGTTCCAGACCAACAAGATTGACGTTATGGAGTGGCCAGCCCAATCCCCGGATCTTAATCCAATAGAAAACTTGTGGGGTGACATCAAAAATGCAGTTTCTGAGGCAAACTCAAGAAATAGAGAAGAACTGTGGAATGTAGTCCAATCATCCTGGGCTGGAATATCTGTTCACAGGTTCCAGAAGTTGGTTGACTCCATGCAACACAGATGTACAGCAGTTCTCAGAAACAGTGCTTATACAACTAAATATTAATTAAGTGATTCAAAGGAAAGCAAAAACTTCAAACATTTTTCAGTTTATATAGTGAATGTTTGAGTTTGTAAAGAAGAATACAAACACTGCTATTTTTTTGAACAGTCTAATATTACTTTTCTTCAATTTTTTTAGAGGAACAACACAAATTTGATATATTTTTCTTCATGATTTGATTTGGAATAGAATGTGTAGTGTTCCCAATGCATTTGTGTGTATGGAAATAAAAGCTATTAGAAGGATTTTGAGCTTTATTTACTTTTTTCAACACACTGCTATTATTTTGAACACAACTGTATACTGTGTATGTGTATATATATACAGTATATACTGAATATATTGCAGCATGCCAAAATGTAGGCTGCATTAAATTTCTTTTTTTTAGACTAAGAACATTTTCAAATGCAGTGTCATTGTAACTTTCTGTGCATTGAACTGAAATCACAAACAACCTTATCCTACTTCTTAACTGTTTTCTGTAAACTTCAAATTTTCCTGTCTTCCCCAAATAATGGAGATGAAAAGAAGAATGCTTATTTGTAGTTCAAATCAGGAGAGCAGCCTAATGACACCAGCATAGATACAGTAAAGTGAGCAAGCATTTCTAGTACAGAAACTCATTCACAGGATTACCAGGTGAAATTAAAGAGAACAAAACTAATGCAGCCAGCCATCTAAGGACTGGTGCCCCATAATAGACACAGTTTTGGGTTTTGGGCTAAGACAAGCTTTAAGTGTGTCAAGAAAGAATTACCGTATTTTTCACTCCATAAGACGCACCTGACCATAAGACGCACCTAGGTTTTAGAGGCGTAAATCAAGAAAAAAAAATATTCTGAACCAATGGACTGCAGACACAGTATAGGGGATGACCAGAGACTGCGGACACAATACAGAAGATGACTAGAGACTGCGGACACAATACAGGAGATGACCAGAGACTGCGGACACAGTACAGGAGATGACCAGAGACTGCGGACACAGTGCAGGAGATGACCAGAGACTGCGGACACAGTGCAGGGGATGACCAGAGACAGTGCAGACAGTGCAGGTGCAGGGAATGACCAGAGACTGCAGACTGTGCAGGGAATGACCAGAGACTGCAGACTGTGCAGGGAATGACCAGAGACTGCAGACAGTGCAGGGAAATGACCAGAGACTGCAGACAATGCAGGGAATGACCAGGGACTGCAGACAGTGCAGGGGATGACCAGAGACTGTAGACAGTGCAGGGAATGACCAGAGACTGCAAACAGTGCAGGGAATGACCAGAGACTGCGGACCTTTGGGGAGGGAGGGGGAGAGGGTACCTGAATTTGACAGGTACCTGCTCCCACTTCCCGCGGAGTTGTCCTTCTTCTTCCCGGGCCGGCTTCTGTGACAGCCGGGTGCCCACTGCGCATGCGCGAGAAGCGCTGAGCTTTGTGAATGGCCCGGCACCTTCTGGGACCTGTCATGTGTCCCAGAAGACACCGGATCATTCACAAAGCGCAGCACATGTGCAGTGAGGACCCGGCTGTCACAGAAGCCAGCGCGGGAAGACTGTGCAGTGCTGGAGCGAGGAATAGGTAAGGCCTTGCAGGAGAGAACAGCTGAGCGGCCGGCCCCGGTATTCTGACATGGTGGCGGCAGAAATACCGGACCGGCCGTTTTATATTCGCTCCATAAGACGCACTGACATTTCCCCCCCTTTTTTTGGGGGGAAAAAAGTGCATCTTATGGAGCGAAAAATACGGTATATTTTTTTAATGGTTGTATTTCTTTGATTCTCTTTGTATAACATTGTGGGCTTAGTTGTGATGATGTGATTTCTGCCTGCATAATTGTTTAATAAATGAAGTTTGTGATTTTAGTTATACTTGCACCTGAGAAACAGCAGAGATGCTCAAAAACGGCTGTTTAGTTTATTTCAGATACAAAACAAAGAACTGGAAATAAAGATTTTACATCAGCAAAAGACTCTGCCAATTAGAAGTTTTAGAATCCCACCATTTTTCATTTTTTTAAGCAGTTCAAGAATTACCTACAATGCTAGATATAAGCAATTTACTCCCTGAGGTTAGGTTTGCTTCTCAAAAATGTAAAAATAATATAAACATTGGTACTATAGGAGACGTTTCTGGCAGACTCAATGCCACAACGGAATCTCAGGCACTTCACGGGACAACAGCTTCAAGTACAGCTTAACAGCAGTCGAGGTGAGCAAGTCTAACTTTCAGCTCTGAAGAGAAAGCTTTATTCTACAGGTTTGACAAATTAAGTTCCAAAATGTCAAAATCAGAAAAAGAGACTAGGTTGCTCTTTGCTTTATCACAGAGGATTTTGTATGTCAAGTAGGTGAAAGGATGTTTCCTCAAGTCTGGGGTCTTTTAATGGATCTGGAGTCAGTTGCTTGCAAAGAGTGACTGGCATTCTGATTAGAAGCTTACCAAAGCATCTTGCAGCATAAAGCAACACCCCTGGCCTATGCCTAGTTTGTTAGGGGTTTATCCTGTAGCAAGATAATGACCCAACAAATACTTCTAAGCTATGTGAGACCTGCCTTAGAAAAAAAGAACAAAGCTGCAGGCATCAAATTATGGACTGGCCTGCAGTCTTTAGGCTTAAAGTGATACTAAACAGAGAAGTGTTAATTGCCAAAATTCATTCACATGAATCATATACAGTATATCATGCCACTGTATTTTTTAAAATCATCTGAGTACATTATTATTGCAGCACTGTTGTGTGCTCACAGGATCTCTTTGGCATTTGCAGGGTAAGATCCTTGGGAGTGGCTTCTGTTACTACAGTATGAGTCTATCTGCACAGCCCTGAACATAAACTGTGTATTTTAACATTAATATGATGTAGGCAGAGCCAAAGATGATTGACACTGGCTTTCATTCTTTTCAGATGGCATTTGTATCCAAGGTTTTTTTTTTACAGGTATTAGCAATTACATATGATATACAGGTGAAACTCGAAAAATTAGATTATCGTGCAAAAGTTCATTTATTTCAGTAATGCAACTTAAAAGGTGAAACTAATATATGAGATAGACTCATTACATGCAAAGCAAGATAGTTCAAGCCATGATTTGTCATAATTGTGATGACTATGGCTTACAGCTCATGAAAACCCCAAACCCACGATCTCAGAAAATTAGAATATTGTGCAAAAGGTGCAATATTCTAGGCTCAAAGTGTCCCACTCTAATCAGCTAATTAAGCCATAACACCTGCAAAGGGTTCCTGAGCCTTTAAATGGTCTCCCAGTCTTGTTCAGTAGGAATCACAATCATGGGAAAGACTGCTGACCTGACAGGTGTGCAGAAAATCATCATTGACACCCTCCATAAGGAGGGAAAGCCTCAAAAGATAATTGCAAAAGAAGTTGGATGTTCCTAAAGTGCTGTACCAAAGCACATTAATCGAAAGTTATGTGAAAGGGAAAAGTGTGGAAGAAAAAGGTGCACAAGCAGCAGGGATGACCACAGCCTGGAGAGGATTGTAAGGAAAAGGCCATTCAAAAGTGTTGGGGACTTTCACAAGGAGTGGACTGAGGCTGGAGTCAGTGCATCAAGAGCCACAACACACAGATGGATCCTGGACATGGTCTTCAAATGTCGTATTCCTCTTGTCAAGCCGCTCCTGAACAACAAAGTCAGAAGCATCTTACCTGGGCTAAAGAAAAACAGACCTGGTCTGTTGCTCAGTGGTCCAAAGTCCTCTTTTCTGATGAGATCAACTTTTGCATCTCATTTGGAAACCAAGGACCCAGAGTATAGAGGAAGAATGGAACGGCACACACTGCAAGATGCTTGAAGTTCAGTGTGAAGTTTCCACAGTCTGTGTTGATTTAGAGCCATGTCATCTGCTGGTGTTGGTCCACTGTGCTTCATTAAGTCCAGGGTCAATGCAGCCATCTACCAGGAGATTTTGGAGCACTTCATGCTTCCTTCCGCAGACGAGCGTTATGGGGATGCTGACTTCATTTTCCAGCAGGACTTGGCACCTGCCCACACTGCCAAAAGCACCAAAACCTGGTTCAATGACCGTGGGATTACTGTGCTTGATTGGCCAGCAAACTCGCCTGACCTGAACCCCATAGAGAATCTATGGGGCATTGCCAAGAGAAAGATGAGAGACATGAGACGGAATAATGCAGAAGAGCTGAAGGCCGCTATTGAAGCATCCTGGTCTTCCATAACACCTCAGCAGTGGCACAGGCTGATAGCTTCCATGCCACTCCGCATTGAAGCAGTAATTGCTGCAAAAGGGCCCCAAACTAAGTACTGAGTACATATGCATGCTTATACTTTTCAGAGGTCCGATATTGTTCTATGTACAATCCTTGTTTTAATTGATTGCATGTAATATTCTAATTTTGTGGAGATTGTGGATTTGGGGTTTTCATGAGCTGTAAGCCATAATCCTCACAATTATGACAAATCACGGCCTGAACTATCTTGCTTTGCATGTAATGAGTCTATCTCATATATTAGTTTCACCTTTTAAGTTGCATTACTTAAATAAATGAACTTTTGCACGATATTCTAATTTTTCAAGTTTTACCTGTATGTAATACTGATTTATATTAAAACAATTTTTTTTGTGAATTTCTTAGTGAATTTAATCAATCAGCATATTATATCCCATTGTGATAGTGTTTAGCAATAGGAGGACATGGAGGAGGAGGGAGGGAGAGGAGAATAAACTGGGTATAGTTCATTCTACACAATATGAATGCTTTAGTGGCTTTGTGAGTATGCATACTCTGTTAGGTCCAGTTCACATCTATGTGGTTGGTTGTGGGTGCAGGAATTGCAGTGATGAAAACATGCTGCTGTGAGAAAAAATGTGCACGGCTGCCATTCATCCTCAATTGCACCCCCACACATGTAATAACACAGCACATTTTTGGGTTCAGGAACTGCAGGAAAAAAAAGACCATGCAATTTCCCCGTGGGACGCATCTTGAAAAAGGTACATGCACCTTTTTCTGTGGGAAAGACAAGCATATCAGCCCATTCAAATGAATGGACTGCTGTGCCCAAGCAAATGCAGCTCGCACACATGCAAAGGTGTGAATCAGGCCTACTATAGCACGTAGTGAAAGTTTTTCTATAGTCTGGGTTTGATGACACTTTAAACCTTATTGAGCTAGTTGCTGATGATCGAGAAAAGTGGTTGAAATAAAAGCAGCCTACTAGTATAACACATTCACAGGAACTTCTGCAAAAGTGTTAGGAGGAACTTTTTGAACAATATTTGCTGTCTATTGTAGAAAGAATGCCACCAGTGTGTTCAGAGGTAATATCTGCAAAAGGTAGCTACTTCGATGTTGGAATACATAAATTCATTCTTATCAGAATTGTTTATCTGTGCTATGCTGTAAGAGCATAATGATACACTGAACTCCATACATTTCAATAAAAACTTGAAAAGTGGGGGTGTTTTTAAACATTTATTAGTTTAACAGTTCAATAACAGTTGGCATATATACAGATGCTTCTTCTAAAAGCTTATGAGGACCACATTTCCCTGTCAGAGTTCTTACATGTATTCCTGCCCACCTTAAACTAAAATAAATATTATTACAACAGGAAGAGTGGGTCCTATCATATTGGCAGGAAAAAGCCCTGGAACTCAACTACAGAGCTTTATCTAGTAAGAGTCCCTGAGAGATTTTTTGAATTAGGAATATCTGTTATGTTTTGACTAGGATCAGTCACTGATGCTAACCCATCTTTTTTTAAAACAGTATAAAAATATTAGAGCAAAAATATAGACATAAGCATCATGTCCCTTAAAAAAGACATTTTCACCAGAAATATAGAAGTAAATGATTAGAACGTTTTTATTAATTACTTACATTTGTGATGCACAGCAATGCCAGAAGAAATGTAATAAATGCGACTGCAAAAGTAAACAGTTTGCGATGTCTCTTGAGAATACTAAAATCATCAGCCATTCCAGTGATCACTGCCTCCATACCACCCATCTATAAATAATTTTAAAAAAAGAAGCAGTATTATGTGCCTATTTGAATGAGGCCCTTGGTCTTTGTACAAAAATGTATGTATGTTAAACATAAACTTTACATGTAAAAAATGACCATACAATTATATACTTTCATTGATACCAAATAATTGGTAAATTACATTCCTGAACACACACACAAATGGAGAAATGCAAATTATTGAAGAAATAATTTTGTTTTAAAATACGTGACTATTGTGTATAAACCTGCGTTACATTGCTTAAGTGTCAACTGAAGTAACAAGAAACAGCAAAACTTTACGATATTACACCAAAACTAGCTAAGTATATACAGTATACTGTATGTACAGAAATGTGTTGTGCTGTTTCTTTAAATCCAATAAATAAATTCTAAATGCACTCACTTCCTTAGATATAAATATACTGTACATGCATGCAATAACATAAAGATCCATATAATCTGAAATAAACTAAAAGATTCCAATGTGAACAGGACTGCTTCTTCAATGCCACCCCTTACGCCAATGCTCTAATCACCAATACACATGCCTGCTTACCAGAAGCCCAGAGCCCAACATAGAGGAGGTCTTACAGTGCTTTGTAAACAATGCTCAGATCCTAGAAGGATGATTGAATGTCACCCTCATTCTAAACGGTAGTAACAGCATACAGCACAATATAACCTTTTACATAGAGAGAGCAGACAGAACTCCATGGTGTAGTAATTCCCAAATAGTTTTTTTTTTAATTTAGGGGAGCAAGTGAGAAAGAAAGTCAGGCAGATCACAAAAAGTCGCTGCTCATCCAAGAGGGTGTGATGATGTCACCCCTAAGCTCTGCCCTATGGGTTTCACTCTATGAGATGTCTTCCAAGGAGAATCGGAATAGTGGTGAAGACTCTTAATATTATCCATATTGCACACATAATCTACTTGAGGGCGATGTTTATTCTGCAGTTCCAATGACACACTGCTGGACCAGACACAAATGCTCCACCAAATATCTGTCTGATTTTCTTCCTTGCTTGTGAGTGTATGCCCTTAATTGTTAATAAAACACTTTTGGAATTACTACATAAAAGAGTTATCTCTGCTCTTTCTCTATGTATGAGGTTATATTGTGCTGGATGCTCTCACTGTCGTTTGGAATGTGGTTGAGAACCATCTAGTCATCTGGGATCTGAACATTGTTTATAAAGCGCTGGTGGCACTAAAGAAGCAGTCCCATTCACACTTGCACACACTGATATTGTTTGCACATTAATTACAGTATATACAGTATAGTGTAGTAGTACAGTGAGTGAATTTGTCATTTATTTGATGTATAGAAACAGCGCAACACATTTCTGTACATATACAGTAGATTTAGTTAATTTAGGCTGGAAAACGTCATTATGCAACCAATTACTGAAAAAAATAAAACCAGAAATATTTGAGAAGAAAGAAAAACGCATTACTAAAATGGGTGCTTGGCTACTGTACAGGTTGCTTTCATATTTTTCCTTAAGTAAGATGAAAAGTATGTTTGTGTAATGCAAGCATCACATTAAACCTATATTTAATGGGACATATGTATAAATGTACTATGCCATTATTAAAGGATACTCACAGCACTGTCAATGCCAAGGGTAAGCAACATAATAAAAAATACCACAGCCCAAAAAGTAGATCCTTGAAGGGTAGATATTGCTTCTGGATATATAATGAAAACAAGTCCTGGTCCTGTTAAACAAAAAGCATAACTTTAATAGATTAAAAAAAAGTAAATACTTTGAAAGATATCCATAGCAGTTTATTTCTAAAGTCTGATGTTTCTGTCATTGGGAATTATTCAAGCATTTAAAAGTGGAGTACACATGCCTCTGCCCTGCCTTCAGAGCTCAGTGTCGCAGCTGGGGCTCCCGTGTAAATGTGCAGGAGTGAAGTGAACTGCCAGAGTCTGTGAACCTAGAAGGTTGACTGGGTGAAAGAGGTAAGTCTTTCATAATCTGTAGTTATACTAGCACATTATGATATTACCTTGCAAAGAGAAGATTATTTTTCTTTGTTACAACTTTAATAGAGACACTGGAGTAGATGTTGGCGAGTGCTTTTTTGAGTTTCACAGCTTCAATCTAGGGAAGGGAGTGGGCAGCCTATTGCTGTAGGATTGTATACTTTGCTGCTGCCAGCCCTTCCCCGCTTGTTCCTTGAGAAACATTCACATCAAAAAACCAACAGGAACGACATGGGATTGTAATGAAACTTCCATCAAATGTCACAGGCCCACAAGATCCAGTTAGGTCTCTCTTTCTATCTACCAATATTTCCTAGTTTCCATTGTTCTATTCTTCCCATATGTGCTTGACCAGTGCATGGATGGCCTTATGAGGAAAAACATTAAATAAAATAACAATTATTAAAAAAGAGAATATGTAAATAATTTTTAATAGAACTAAAAATACACAAAAAACTGTGATGGAATGTAGAAATATGTTAATGTAGGACTTCCCAGATGATTGATCTGGACGATGGGGGCTGTGTTCACATGGCCTGTGCACAAAAACATAGGAACTGGGGTGCAGAAAAATGGCAGGA